AGACGCTTTAGGTTACAGACGCTTCAGGTTACAGACTCAGAAATAGTACCTCAGGTTAAGAACAGTTTCAGGTTAAGAATGGACCACCAGAACAAATTAAGTTCTTAAGCTGAGGTACCCCTGTAACAATAATAACAACAACAACAATAATAATAATTTATTATTTATACCCTGCCCATCTGGCTGGGTTTCCCCAGCCACACTGGGCGGCTCCCAACCGAATATTAAAAACACAATACAGCATTAGGGATGAAAAACATCCCTAAACAGGGCTGCCTTCAGATGCCTTTTAAAAGCAGGATCGTATCTTATTGCCTTGACATCTGTTGGGAATGATATTCAAAGGTTGTGTGGAGTATCTCCGCTATTCCATGTTGTTTGTTTTCAAGAGGCACAGGCAGAAATCATTTCTCTACAAGGGTTCTGCAAGCACAGTAAAGATAATATCTCCTTTTATCCGTGGGAAGGGGAGCACAGTAGCTGTGACCGTTATAAAATCTTCTGCATCTATGGGTTAGATTAACAGCTATACTGTACATGTAAATACATATTTCTCTAGTTTGAAGAGGTTAGCTCTAGTCATTAGATGCCCTGCAATTTTGCTCGTGCGCCTTTTGATTAGTATCTGAGAAGCATCGCCGAAGACCCAGTTCACCCACAGTGCACTTCAAAGTATCAAAAGCTTCATTTCAATGGATCTTTATTGCGATATCATCCATGTCACATAGCACTCGCTAGCAGCAATACTGTTGTTATTTTGAAAAGGGGAGTACCCACTCAGCCAGAAGAGATTTTCTGCTAGCCTAAATTATGACAGAGTGCTACTTTCCTTCTGGATCTGAACTTGCAATGACTGATTGGTATGCAAGCAGGCATATTCCACTCAGAAGTGGAGAATAAATGGAGCTATTTAATCTTCATGCTTAAATTCCAAGGGGAGACCGTGAATTTCAGCCATCGACTCTGAATATGAGACAAGATGTAACTAAAGGATCCAAAAGCAGAAACAGTTTTCCCGGAATAAAGAATGTAAAAGGTTTACAAAGTATTTATTGGCATTTCTAAGTGTACTGTAACAACAACAACAACAACAACAACAACAACAATAATAATAATAATAATAATAATTTATTTATACCCCGCCCATCTGGCTGGGCTTCCCCAGCCACTCTGGGCGGCTTCCAAGAAAATATTAAAATACTGTAATACATCAAACATTAAAAGCTTCCCTAAACAGGGCTGCCTTCAGATGTCTTCTAAAAGTCTCTTTGACATCTGGTGGGAGGGCATTCCACAGGGCGGGTGCCACTACCGAGAAGGCCCTCTGCCTGGTTCCCTGTAACTTTGCTTCTCACAGTGAGGGAACCGCCAGAAGGCCCTCGGCGCTGGACCTCAGTGTCCGGGCAGAACGATGGGGGTGGAGACGCTCCTTCAGATATACTGGACGGAGGCTGTTTAGGGCTTTAAGGGTCAACACCAATACTTTGAATTGTGCTCGGAAACATACTGGGAGTCAATGTAGGTCTTTCAAGACCGGTGTTATATGGCCCTGGCGGCCGCTCCTAGTCACCAGTCTAGCTGCCGCGTTTCTGGATTAGTTGTAGTTTCCAGGTCACCTTCAAAGGTAGTCCCACAGTCATCTTGTATTTTTATTGGTGAATCACCCCAATAGCTACAGACGAAGGGCGGCATACAATCTTAATAAATAATAATAACAATAAAATAATCAATACTTGCGTGACTGGGTAAAATCTTAGAAGGAAGGAGACTCGTCAGTCTGTTGCAGCAAAAGCAACTAAGGCTGTGTCCAGATTGTCAATATTTTGTGGGGCAGATTCAGGTGCACAGCAGAATTTTAGGTCCGTGCGATTCATTGGCTTAATGTGCTCTGTTGCCCTAATGCAACAATTAAAACAAAATGAAAACCTGACCTTTTGTGGTTTGAAAAGCAATCCTCTGAAAAGTTTGAGATAGAATCATAGAATTGTAGAGTTGGAAGGGGTCCCAGGGTCATCTAGTCCAACCCCCTGAAATGCAGGAATCTTAACTAAAGCATCCATGACAGATGGCCACCCAACCTCTGCTTTAAAAACCTCCAATGAATGAGAGTCCACCACCTCCCGAGGGAGTCTGTTCAACTTCATTGACAAGATACTGCCTTTGGACTAAACTGCACACCCATTCCTAAAAATGCAAACTTGATATGCATCGATCTTTATATGCATTAACTCAGTGAAGCAAATCCTAGATTCAAGCAACTGAATGGAAATATTCAGTAAGTTCAGCTCCCTGAATTAATACGTACAAAAGACAAACAAGTCAAAGAAAATGACACAATATGTTGGAAGACATCTGAAGGCAGCCCTGTTTAGGGAAGCTTTTAATATTTGATGAATTATTGTATTTTAATATTTTGTTGGAAGCCACCCAGAGTGGCTGGGGAAACACAGCCAGATGAGCAGGGTATAAATTATTATTATTATTATTATTAGTTGTGTAGTTATTTATCTCCTTGACATCTGAAGGGAAGGTGTTCCACAGGGAGGGCATCACTACTGAGAAGGCCCTCTCTCTGGTTCCCTGTAACTTCACTTCTTGCAGTGAGGGAACCAGCAGAAGACACTCAGAGGAGGACCTCAGTGTCTGGACTGAGCAATCAGGGTTTGTGTGTATATATGTTTCTGTGTGGGCTCTCTGAACCTGAACTGCGGTGTTTGTGTGTGTCTCTGTGTTAAAGCTCCACCAGGGTCCTAATGCAGTTCATCCTAGATACCCACTTCTTACTTTGAAAGAAAGCCATTCAAATTGCTTTGAATGTTAGTTTGGCCCCTTTGTGCTTTATTTCATTTATTGTGCTTTTGTGGTTTATCATGGATTAAAATAACAAGAAATGCATTGAATTCAAGACCATGGCAAAGCCAAGAGCTGAGAGGTAAGGAGAGATATAAACATAAAGGGAAAAGGGGTAACAGAATGTTCCAACTGCAATTTATTTGACAAGCATAGTTAATTTTTAATTTTGATAACATAATTAAGTAGCAAAAGCGCCATAGGCTATTTTTAAAAATTAATAATGCTTCCGTCCTATAAGGGCTCACAGGAATGTGGAAGAAATACTGGAAAAAGAACAACCCACAAATAGCTGCGATTCAAAGTGGGCAATTGCGCATGAACGAGGGTGTTGGGTAAACTTTCCTTTGTGGATCTATTTGCAGAACCTCCCATTCCCACAGGATCAACCAACGAGATGGGAGAGCAGATCGGCTTTCATCTTCAGGAGTGGGAGCTGCTGCAGGGACAATTTCAAAGGAAACTTCCACTGTGTGCATGAGTTCCACTCTTGCGTGAGAACGACTTATTTGGCTTGCAGCTTCAGGTTGCTCTGACTCCTAAGAGAGCAACAGACCTTTCACGAAGATGTCATTTCAAAGCCATCAAATGTCATCAAATGCACGGCGTGAGCTAAGAAGGCAACGGGAATGCACAGAGGACAAGGTGCAAGCAAACACAGTCCTTTTTCTCTGTACTCATGTAATTCGTACCTGGACTGAAAAGCAGCTCAGAAGTGGTTCATTTTTTAAGCCCCGATCCGTGCCCAATAAGCAAGGGATGCCTTTGCTGGTGGCTTGGTAGCCCATAGATTGCTGCAAAATACTGGGCAAAAACTTGCCCAGTATCTTCTCTGTGTGATGGGCTCAGGGGGGAAAGCTGTCCCATGAGCCCTTGCTGCAGTGGGGAGGGAAAAGCCTATATAAGGCTGCTTCCCCCGGAGCTTACAGCCATTTTGCTTTGGGAGCTTCTTGCCTGCCCACCCTCAGGTTAGAGCCTTCACTGAGCAGTTTTGGGTCACTGGTTGACAGGGCCAGAAAGGAATTATTTGCTCTCAACCTAATTTGCACTTGGTTGGGGTTTTTGTTGTTGTTGTTTTGCCTTTCCCACAGTGAAATTATGGCTTTCCTTTGTTAAGCAAGGGACGCAGGTGGCACTTTGGGTTACACCACAGAGCCTAGGACTTGCCGATCAGAAGGTCGGCGGTTCGAATCCCCGCAATGGGGTGAGCTCCCATTGCTCAGTCCCTGCTCCTGCCAACCTAGCAGTTCGAAAGCACGTCAAAGTGCAAGTAGATAAATAGGTACCGCTCCGGCGGGAATGTAAATGGCGTTTCCGTGTGCTGCTCTGGTTCACCAGAAGCGGCTTAGTCATGCTGGCCACATGACTTGGAAGCTGTATGCCGGCTCCCTCGGCCAATAAAGCGAGATGAGCGCCGCAACCCCACAGTCAGTCACAACGGGACCTAATAGTCAGGGGTCCCTTTACCTTTACCTTTGTTAGGCAGAAACACACTGTATGAGGGCGGAAACGGCATTGGGCAGGATCAACAAAGTATGGGGGGGGGCATAAGGGGCCTGAGGGGAGCATTGACCATAGCAAAACCTAGGCGTGGGTTCCTGGTTGGAATCTGCACCCTGGTCCCCCAGTGAGATTTTGCTTGCTTGGCTTGCTCCACGTCAAGGTTCAACACTGGCCGACTCCTGTAGTACAGGTCTGGAGCCATGCAAACCCAGTGGATCCATTCCATCAACATGGGGCTTGTGGAATGATGAACTGATCCTGGGACCCAATGCCATGTCAATCCTTGCCCCGCCTGCCGCTGTCAATAAAGATTTCATCTGATTTTATCCCATCACCTTGTACAGTCTGGTTATTTTGCTGCTCTCGTGGGTCACATAATGCACCTGCCTGGGCAAAGAAAAACAGTCAGTAGGGGAAAAGAGAAATAGGGTCCCCCCTTTCTGAACTCCTGGTAAAGGTAAAGGTAAAAACACATTTAGGCGACGTAATCCTATACACACCAGGGTGCAGACCTCATTGAACTAAGTGGGGTTTATTTCAGAATGGACATGCATAGGACTGAATCATTAAAAACAGAATATTAAAAATACAATGAATGAAGATCTCAGAGATTAAAACATAATCCTTATTGAAAACAGCAGATGTTTAGCAGGCCAAAGGTACTGGAATAAAAATGTCTTTATCAATAGGCTGGAGATAGTCAGAGAGAAGACTGTTTGTGCTTCATGAGCCAAAGTGCTTCACAATATTGGTGTAGGCCCTATTTCTTGTCATCATTCACTAAGTCTTCACCCTAAGCAGGATACAGAGAAGGGGTAAGATAGTGATCATTGAGGTATCTAGCAATTTATGGTACCGTATTTTTCGCTCTATAGGACGCACTTTCCCCCCTCAAAAAATTAAGGGGAAATGTGTGTGCGTCCTATGGAGCGAATGCAGGCTCCTTAGCTTCAGCGATTGCAACGTGAAGCTTCCAAAGCGCAGAGGGAAAGCTCCGCCCTCTGGAGGCTTCACGTGCCCTTGCCATCACCCATCCTGCGCAGTAGTCTGGGGTGCAGAGAGGGGCGGAGACGGTTGGGGATAACAAAACTTCTATGTTGGGGGAGATACAAAAAAAGACCACTCTTGGATTCTGCTAGCGATTGAGCCAGACATGAACTTTTGACGCTCTTCACTGTAAATAATTTGCACCAAAATAAAGCCAGGTAAAAGACAGCTTGGAGTCCTGTCTGTTTACTCTCGAGCATCCGCAACAGCCATCTGACAGTATATAAATTTGTATCAGTTTTACATAAAACATAACATTTTCACATATTAAAAAAGAAAAGCGTTCTTTCGAACCTTGAGACCTCCTTCCTTCCCTTCCTCCATGGGTTCCAATTCTTAATTTTATTCCTGCATCTTTTACTGTAATCTATATAATCATAGTATCCAAAATCCAAGTTACATTACAAAGGTCATTGTATTCCTGCCAATGATTTCAGCCGTTTACGGTGATCTCTCAAATACGTTAGAAGGGTATTCCAGTCTTTTAAAAATACTTGGTCTTCCTGATTTCTGATCTTTCCCGTCAGTCTTGCCATTTCTGCATATTCCATCAGCTTGGTCTGCCACTCTTCTCTGGTTGGTACTTTACATCTCCGGGCAAGAAGCATCCTTGCTTGCTGTCGTTGCATACATAAACAGCAGGGATGCAGGTGGCACTGTGGTCTAAACCACTGAGCCACTTGGGCTTGCCAATCGGAAGGTCGGCAGTTCGAATCCCCACTACAGGGTGAGCTCCCTTCGCTCCGTCCCAGCTCCTGCCAACCTAGCAGTTAGAAAGCATGCTTTCTCTGTGCGCCAGTAGCGGTTTAGTCCTGCTGGCCACATGACCCAGAAAACTGTCTATGGACAAACGCTGGTTCCCTTGGCCTGAAAGCGAGATGAGTACCACAACCCCATAGTCACCGTTGACTAGACTTAACCATCCAGGGGTCCTTTACCTTTATCTTACATAAACAGCATTTTCTTTTCTTTTGGTAGTTTCGTGTCTATAATGCTTAACAAAAAAGCCTCTGCTTTTTTAACGAAAGTTATTTTTGTTAAGTTGTGGGTGAACATATCAGATGACACAGCGATTCTTCAAACGGCTTTTGTTTATTCACAGGCCAGAACAGAACTGAAGTGAAGGGTTCAGCCAGGCTGCTTATATAGCACTCCACTACAATGCAACAGTAATAACTTTCTGTAACTAGCCGATCACTGAACATCACTTTCAGTTCCTTATTTGCATATGTCGACCTGAGTGAAAACTATCTACAGTATCCCCCTGCTGGCCCACGGTGAGAACTTCAGTACATAACAATTTTAAACATTTTTTTCATTATATATCATTTCCCAGAAAGCTTTTACCATCCCACATGACCACGACATACGATAATGCTCCACCCATTGTTAACATTAGGCTCCTCGAAGCTTGCCCAGGAGCAATGTGGTCCTCAAGGTGAAAAAGCTTCCTGAGCCCTTACCTAGTTCAGTACCACCTCCTCTTATAATCATCCCAATAAGCTAAAATTACCCTGCCAAACTAATGAATCTTCAGGTGTATTTGGACAGCCTGAAGGAGACCATAACCATTTCTAGAGCAATTTATAACTTGAATAAATCACAACCTCCCATTGATGCAGCTTGCCTTGCTAATGGAATTCTACAGTATTTCTGATTTAGTAACCTTTGAGATTATAAATATTATGTCAATGCTTACCTTAACTTGGCCCACACCGTATATAAATAATCCCTGTGGTCTGTGCCCTTGAAAATGTTCACATTGTCATTCCTAAGAAACATTAGAGGCAAGTGTGTGAAGGTTTTAGATTTAATGCGCCTAAATAATGTTCTTATGGTTTTGGACAGCAAGTTATCACAAAGGAGTGAAAACCTTTCCATCACAAGTATGGATCTGCGACTGCCAGCGAAATAGTATTTCTGCCATTAAATGTTCCAGGTATTCTCATCTATAAAAGCGTTTCAGATCTGCTACAGCGCTAAGATGAAAGATGCTTTCTTAATTTTAGAAGGGGGAAATTTAAGCTGCAATCCTGTACCCACTTACTTGTGAGCAAGCCCCACTGAAATCAATGTAACTTACTTTTGAACAGACTTGCGCTGTTAACCATAGTTCTTTCTTCCGTTCTTACATTTATATTCTGCCCTCTTCCTCCCAGTGGAGCCCAGGCTGGCAGGCACACGAATGATAAAAGAAGGAAAACATCTAAAAACACGTACAATACAAGTGCAGACTGGGAAAGAGCTGTACTTAAAAGGCTTGTTGGAAGTGGAAGGCTTTCAGTAGGTACTGGAAAGACAACAGAGAGGGTGCCTGTCTTATATATAATAGGAGTTGGGGTGAAATTCCAAAGGGTAGGTGTCAAAATGGCTCCCATATGAACAAGCTGTTTGTAGAGAGAGATTATATTCAGCTGCCATTTTTAGAATATATATACATATATGGGACGCAGGTGGTGCTGGGGGTTAAACCACAGAGCCTAGGACTTGCAGATCAGAAGGTCAGTGGTTCGAATCCCCGCGATGGGGTGAGCTCCCGTTGCTCGGTCCCTGCTCCTGCCAACCTAGCAGTTCGAAAGCACGTCAAAGTGCAAGTAGATAAATAGGTACCGCTCCAGCGGGAAGGTAAACGGCGTTTCCGTGCGCTGCTCTGGTTCGCCAGAAGCGGCTTAGTCATGCTGGCCACATGACCCAGAAGCTGTACACCGGCTCCCTCGCCCAATAAAGCGAGATGAGCACCGCAACCCCAGAGTTGGCCACGACTGGACCTAATGGTCAGGGGTCCCTTTACCCTTTACCTTTTTATATACATATATATAAACTATGCTATATTTGTGTCCTTGTGACATCTCCCCCGATCCCTTGAATCCCACCCAGCAGGAAGGTTTTAAGTCTTCTTTGTGATCATATATCCTGGTTGTGGAGTGGACTGTAACTGGGTCCCAGTTTCCAATTTCCCTCCACCCAAAGACCTCTCCACCCAAAGCAGGAATGTTGGAGGGTGATTGGCCTTGTTCTCTATGGAGACCATCAATGAAAGCTTGAATAGGGTTAACCTTTACAGCAGCTGTAGGGAATCTTCAGCCCTCCAGATGTTGTTGAGCTACAACTCCCATTATTCCTGGTCATGGGCCATGCCTCCTGGGACTGACACCAGTTCTAAACTCCTGGTTCACAGGAATCTCTATTTTCTATCCATTGCAACTTAATTATACACACAAACAAGTGGAGTTTGATCTTTATTTATTGTCGGTTATTGGGGCCTTCAGGTCCCCTTCCAACATTATAAATCTCCTCTTCAACAGCACATTTTTTTCTAGAAAAAAATTTCTATTTTTTCTAGAAAAAGAGGTGCTGGAGCTCACAACAAACTTCTCCCTTGTTCTCTTAGAATGGCAATGGCAATGGTGCCCACCTGAGAGGTGCTGGAGCTGAGCTCCTGTAAGCTCTGGTTGAAAAAATAAAAGCCCTGCATTTATGTAGGAAAAAGGCACGAGGCATGCATATTGATTAATGTGGGTGGAATTCAACAAAGTCCTACTCAGAGTAGACACATTTATGCTCCACCCTCATTGTTCAGCCCGGACACTGAGGTCCAGCTCCGAAAGCCTTCTGGTGGTTCCCTCACTGCGAGAAGCCAAGTTACAGGGAACCAGGCAGAGGGCCTTCTCAGTGGTGGCACTCGCCCTCTGGAACGCCCTCCCATCAGATGTCAAAGAAATAAACAACTATCTGACTTTTAGAAGACACCTGAAGGCAACCCTTATTTAGGGAAGTTTTTAATGTTTGATGTTTTATCGTGTTTTTAATATTCTGTTGGGAGCCGCACAAAGTGGCTGGGGAAACCCAGCCAGATGCCCGGGGTATAAATATATTATTATTATTATTATTATTATTATTATTATTATTATTATTATTCTATATATGAAAACTGCCTTTTTATTGTTGTAAAAAATCCTACTTATAAAGAAGAAAAAACCCCAGGAGCTCGCAATAAATGGGGAAGCGATACAGTTCATTGGTAGAGCATTTGTCTTGCATTCAACTTCAATCCATGAGATGGAGGGCTAGGACCATATCCTGTCTGAAATCGTACAGAGACGCTTCCACTTAGTGCAGACACCACTGAGCTAGCTAGATCAATTGGCCACTCAGCTAGAAGGATCAATAGTCCGACTCAGGACAAGACAGCGTCCTATGTTTCTGAACATTAAAAAAGAGATGGAAACCACTTTAAAATAGAACAGCAAATAAAAACAGCTGCAGACGCAAAGAAATTGTGGAAGCGTCAGATCGAACCACAAATAAAACATGCTGTACAAAAGTTTTTAACGGAGGGAAACGAAGTAGCTGCACAGTAACAGCTCAGACAAGTAATAATAGCCTGGCACCTAAAGCTTAATAAGAAAAGTATGAAGCAGAGTTCTCTTGGGAAGGCATTCCACAAAGGTATTCCCCATTTTACATACTGTGAGTGTGTTTGGGTTTGTGTGGGGCGGTTTGGGCAGGTTGGTGAAGTTCCTTAGTACTATAGTATATGGTTACTGTTATGTACTGAAGTTCTCACCCTGGATCAGCAGGGGGATACTGTAGATAGTTATGCAAATAAGGGATTGAAAGTGACATTCAGTGATTGGATAGTTTTAGAAAATTGTTACAGTTACGGTGTACTGGAGCTCTATACAAGCAGGCTGGCTGAACCCTTCAGTTCAGTTCTGTTCTGTTCTGGCCTGTGAATAAACCAGAGCTGTTTGAAGAATCGCTGTGTCGTCTGATATGTTCACCCACAACTTAACAGTTACCAGATTTTTTCAGTGAATCAGGGGACACTTTTTTTTTTAAGCTGAGTAGCAACATGGAGTCAATAGTGGGGATGGTGAGGCAAAAGACCCTGGGCCCAAGCACACATGCATATTGTATAAAGGTGCACCCTGTGAAACATAAATGTGCAGAGTTTTTTAAAAACTGGACATCGGCTGGCCGTGCACAACTCCAGAGCCTCCCCTGATCAGTCAAAACAAAGGGGGAAGGGGGCAGGAGATCTTTACTGCTGGACGTCTCCGGTTCCCCTTCAGCAGTGGCAGCAGCAGCACAGTCAGCAGCCCGGATCCAGCCTGGTAGCGCAGTTGACTCTGGCTGGCTTCAGGAGCTGCTCGCTGCTGTGGCGCCTGCCATTTTGCCTCGCCGGAAGTCCCCATATGATGTGTTGTGACTTCCCACGAGGAAAAATGGCGATTGCTAAGGCAGCCGCTGCCACATTTCCTGGGGACAGATTTGCAAATCTGGAGACATTCCGGGAACGGAATTTGTCCGTGGACAGATTTGCAAATCCGGGGACATCTGGTAATCCTACTATAGTAGTCATTTCCTTCTCCTTCTCTGAACGCTTGGCCTAGGAGAAGGTTGAATGCGGTGATAGCATTTTAACATTTTGGGGTTTGAAGTGTAGGAAAATAGCAGAATATATTAAGAAACATGTAGAGAGGCTGAAAGCAGATAAGAAAGAACCTTAAAATGCAAATGTATGCAATTTGAGTTTGAAACATCTTTGTTGGGTGAGTGGAAAGCCACTAGTTCTGGTGAATTGGAATGTAAATGTCGAGTAACAAATGTAACTTTCCACATGGAAAAAAGAATAAAATATTATTATAAAAAAGAGAGTCGAGTATATGAGAAGTGTCAAAATATCCCATTATTAAACTGGATTTTTGAGCAAAAAACAAATAAAACACTGTGTTTTTGTCTGGGGCAGTCGGGTGGACGAATGCATTGCAATGAGCAAAACAACAACAATCAAATCCCCTATTCTCTCAAGCAATCTTTCCCCCTTTAGATATCACTTTTGTCTCTTGTTTTCATGTATTATGAAAGTAGACGTCTGCCATATATTGAATTTGAAAGCGAGATACCTCTGTTTTTGTGATCATTTCAAAGCACCCCCACATCCCTATGCCTTACTGTGACTCAGATGGAAAACATCAGCTGAAGGAACACAAAAGCCAATGGTATTCTTTGACAAATCAGGCAGGTACAGGAACGAGGACGGCGGGACAAATTTTGGGGACGCTTCTGTAATGTTGGGCAGATGGCGCCAGGAAGCCCTAACTGCTGAATATGGCACCACCGAGTTCCAAACCTGTGTCGATGCAAGCTGCTCAGTCCAATAGCATGAATGAGAATCTGAACACTGGCGGATGGCTCCTAAATCACAGGCAGGGCAAGAAAAATCTGTCCTGGAAGGAGGCTACGCATTTTATGAGACTATTAAACAATTTCTCTCTTGCTTTGGTTATTGCAATTATAGCACCCTTGTTCAATGTCACAGCTGCTGCGCATTATTCATTTGAGAATGATAAAAAAGACTGTTAAAAAAGAACCCCTGTAATTAGCATGTTGATCAGCATGTTCGTTACTAGCAAGTAGTGACAACAAGAGACTTTGCTCTCCTATAAAGTGTCATTACTTAAGGAATAGGGATGAATTAATCAAGATGATTGTAAGGGATACTAAAACACACACACACACACACACACACACACACACACACCCCAAAAACCACAAATTAAGGATTATTTCTCTTTTTTAACATATTAGCATATATTTCTTAATGAAACAGCATTCAGCCAGAAAGACTGTCCACCGAGCATTTATAATTTGGATAACATATTGTTACAAGTATTGGAGCCTCAGCTTCAGGATCTGTCCTTCCAGTGAGCACTCAGGGCTAATTTCCATCCATTCTTAAGGAAATTAGCCCTGAGTTCTCACTGGAAGGACAGATCCTGAAGCTGACGCTCCAATACTTTGGCCACCTCATGAGAAGAGAAGACTCCCTGGAAAAGACCCTGATGTTGGGAAAGATGGAGGGCACAAGGAGAAGGGGACGACAGAGGACGAGATGGTTGGACAGTGTTCTCAAAGCTATGAACATGAGTCTGACCAAACTGCGGGAGGCAGTGGAAGACAGGAGTGCCTGGCGTGCTCTGGTCCATGGGGTCACGAAGAGTCGGATACGACTAAACGACTAAACAACAACATTGTTACAAGCCACCCTAATCTCTAATCTCTTTCAGGCAACAATTATTCAAGTCTGTGCTTCCTTTAGGCAAAATGAGACTGTGGTGTCTTTCAGATATATGGTTTATTTGCACACATATACAACCTGAGCTACTCTCACATCCCGAGAGAGTCTTGCTTCTACCATAGGAGCAGTCTTGGGTTTCAACAGACCTCCATCATTTCTCTGCCTCCTGCTTTCTTCTTGTCACATAACCCCTGCTCTCTAAGTTTCTGGCCCACATTGCTCTTTCCCCCTCTTCTCTAAGCTCTTAGCTTTATCTCTTGAGCGAAAGGGGCCTCGCCTCTTTGCTGTCTATGGTGAGTTCCTTTGACCCATTGCAGTCCTAATGGTCCATTCCTCAGGTGGTTACCTCAACACAGGAAACTTTTCCTGTGTTGGATAATGCGGCAGCTAGACTGGTGACTGGGAGTGGTCACCGAGACCATATAACGCCTGTCCTGAAAGACCTACACTGGCTCCCAGTACGTTTCCAAGCACAATGCAAAGTGTTGGTGGTGACCTTTAAAGCCCTAAACGGCCTCGGCCCAGTATACTTGAAGGAGCTTCTCCACCCCCATCGTTCAGTTTGGACACTGAGGTCCAGCTCTGAGAGCCTTCTGGTGGTTCCCTCACTGTGAAAAGTGAGGTTACTGGGAACGAGGCAGAGGGCCTTCTCGGTAGTGGTGCCCACCCTGTGGAACACCCTCCCATCAGATGTCAAAGAAATAAATGACTATCTGACTTTTAGAAGACATAGAAGGCAGCCCTGTTTATGGAGGTTTTAATGTTTGATGTTTTATCGTGTTTTTAATATTCTGTTGGGAGCCGCCCAGAGTGGCTAGGGAAACCCAGCCAGATGGGCAGGGTAATAATAATAATAATAATAATAATAATAATAATAATAACAACTTTTAACCCTTGTTGATTCTCTTGTTCATTTCTGTTTCCAGGGTTCTGAAATGTGTGGAGGACCTACATGACTGGAGTAGGCTGACCACTTCAGAAGGTCTCACTCCAACTTGTGGAGGGTGCAGAAAATGGTGAGGGGGCAGGAAGCACATCCTGGAAACCCCCTTGAGCCTGTTGGAACACACCTGGGGGGCACACGACTGGACCTAATGGTCAGGAGTCCCTTTACCTTTATATACAGGACAAAGCAATCATGGCATCCTCTCACTTCTTTTCCAAAAGTACAGTACAGCGGAAGAGAGATAAGACTGACTTCTGTTCTCATACTTTCCAAGCCTAGAAAGTAAACACTGACATGTGATATAACAATCATACATCCAGCAACAGAGGAGTGAAATGCTAACAAAGCCCCTGTGATTAGTAGGATTCTGAACTCCTAGGACACACGAACACCTGATACAGTTATTCTGCAGAGAAATGAAGTTAGAAGAGCAGGTGATTTGCTAGGTACTTAAGAGCGTTCTCCCTGCTTGCATGTCCTGTCTCTCAGAATTTGAGGTAAATCCCTTTATTTTGAGGCGGCTTCTTTTTGCACTTCCAATTTGTTTGACTAGCAAGTGACATTTTCTTACGGAAGCCTCTCTTTTGATCACTGAATATACACCAAATGCATTTGCTGTCATGTTGACATTATGTGGCAAGCCTTCAAATATTTCAAGTGGGTTTGTTCCCCCCAAGCTTGTGCAGATTATCAATGCTCCTTGCTCATTAACACAGAGAATAATAGCATCAGCCATTGGTACAGTATGTCGCCCTCTGGCCAGAACACAGACAGTCTGTGTGTGATGTCTGCATTGGCCAGGGTTTTAATCTTCCCCTGTGGAGCTGAGGTTCTGTTCCTATCCAATTTACATTTGCTACTTAGATTGGTATTCTGAATCTTCTGAATATATCCTATTTTGCCGGGAGACAGAAGCTGTAGGCATCCCTGAGTTCTTTAACAGCTGGATAAATTTTCCTCATAAAACTTTGCCATCAGTCCCATCTAGGAAGCTACATTATACCCACAAAAGACTGGACCACCTAGCTCAGTATTGTACACTCTGACCATAGCTGCCAACTTACAGATTTGAAAATAAGGGACCAGCAGCCTCGAAAATAATGGATCAGCAGCTAAAATAAGGATTTTAGTCAACCAGCTTCTTTCGTTTTCCCCATAACAGTCAACTGAAGGGGTCTCCAAAACAAATCCAAAAGCGCCCCCTCCCACGAGGTCACCGCCCGCCATTGTACTCAACCAGCTCCTTTCCTTTTCCCCCACCATGTGCCCCCACTCCAGACAGACCTTTTCCCCGGCAAGGCTGAGTGGGCTGTCGATTCGATGACATATCCATCCGATTCCGATCCGAGCACTCAGCACAGGTATGTTCAACTTCTGAACCCCTCCGAGCCAAAGGCAGAAAGCCCAGCCAGCAGCCAAACAAAGCCTCAAGCCTCAAAGAAAACCACCGTCACCTCTCCACTGGGAAGCGCTGAGCAAAGGCGAGTCCCCAGGCAACACAGCCGATTTGATCGGCACAAGGCATGCAAGCTCCACCCCCCAGTCATTCTTAGACTCCTTATTGGGTGAGCAACGCAGCCAAGCAACACAGATGGAGCCTCCCTCCTCCCTGGCCAGCAGGGAGGGAGGGAGGGAGAGGAGCTCCTTCCTTTGAAACCCGGGAAATTTAAGGGATATCATCAATAAGGGACAGCAGCGGGACATAGCGCTGGGATAAGGGAGTTTCCCGCTAAATAAGGGACAGTTGACAGCTATGACTCTGAGTGCCAGCAGCTCTCCAAGATTTCAGACAGAGTCTTCTGAGACTTACCTGGAGGTGCCAGGAGCAGTGGCAGAGCATGGGTTGCCAGTGCCTGTGGCCACATGGAGGAGGGGTAGAAGGGAGGGAAACAGGCAGAATACACAAGCACATTCAACTGCCTAACGGCATCTGCATCACCCAGGAGATTGCAACCACAGAGATAAGAAAAGAAGAGTTGTTCTGTTCCATTGTCTGGAGAGGTCACTTCCTGCTTCGCATGGAGAAGCCATTTTCAATGAAGCCCAGCAAGAGAAGTATGCAGCTGTATTGAGGCAGTAACTGGTGCTGTAATTTTGCAACCCCCTAACAATTTTGTACCCAGGGCAACTGCCCCGTGCCCCCTTCCCCATGCTACGCCACTGGCCAGGAATTGAACATAGGACCTTCTGCATGAAAACCATGTACTCTATCACTAAGCTATGGTCTCCATTTGAATAGGGATAGATGGAACAGTCAATTTTGGTTCTCCTGGTTTCTCATTTTTCCAAATTTGTCCTCTTCTGATGTGGAACATTGGTATCTCTCCAGCAGGCTTCTTCTAATTTGTAGCCCCAGTCGTTAAAACATAAAGTGAGCTAAGGAGATAAAGGAGAAAATGCACACACACTTTAATAAGGTGTTTTCACTTGAAACAAATTTGGGGAATCTTCCTTGGGCAAAAGATCTGAGGGATGCTGAGGGAAGCCAAAGGACAGAAAGCTGGAGAAGCTTAAATGGTGCATTTCCCACCAAGAGAAGCAAGGCAGGAGATGAAACAAACCTACCAGTGTAAGAAGGAACAAATCAATGCAACTTCCACCATGTAAAGTGAGTACATTTCAAGCTGCAGCCTTCTTCAGGGATACCTGTATCGATTTATAAATAAATGTAATACACATTTTACTGCTGCTGCTAATAAGTGCTGTTATTAATTATTGTATTAATTCTCAGCTTTAATATTGCATATTGGATTTCTGTTTCTTTGGTTAGCTGCTTGGAGAATTTATTTGAACCGAAGAGCAGGTTAGATGCATGGTCATCGTCATCATCATCATCATCATCATCATCACCACGGGCATCTGCAAAGAGCAGTCCAAGAACTCAACTCTCCCTTCCTGCATTTGCATTTCTATCTTCCAAGGAACCCAGATCAACATTTTATTCTCCCCACTTCAGTACACACTAGGCTAAGAGAGTAAATTTCACGAAGCTTCACACCTGAGTGAGGAACTGAGCTTGGCTTTTCCACAACCATATGCAACACTCTAACCAATGCATCACCCTGACAGCATTTCACAGTTCTTAGTTTTCTATGAGCCCATCCAACAGGAATATACAGCTCTCCCTGATTCTTCCTTCCTTCCAGTGTACGAGTTAGAAAGAGCTCCTCATCCATACTCCGTATCAGACCAATGTCCCATGGAGCACAGAGCTGCGAGGCATCCCTTTCAATCAGCATAGCATTTACTTCAGTACAGCTACCTTTGCAGCAAAGACACGGTGTAGGCTAGGGCTGGAGAAATCTATAGCCCTTCAGATTTTTTTGACTACAACTCCCATCATCTTTCCACACTGGCTGAAGTAGCCGGGGCTGGTGAGAGTTGGGAGTCCTACAAACTATGGAGGGTCACAATTGTCCATTCCTAATGATCCCAGGTTAACCCATTGTTATTTTATTGTATATTCCTTATTCAAAAAATAAAAAGTACAAAACTACAAGCGCACAAAGTAAGATAAGACACACACAAAAAGAAGAAACAAGAAACAGTACCCATGCAGAAAACAAAACAGAAAAAAGATACTGTGTACATTATAAAAAAAGGGGGGGGATTGTTATTGTAGTTAACCAGGACTTAACCTAATATGGCATTTATAAAAATGAATTCCAAATCTTGTTAAATGGGAAGTCTACATTTGCAGCCCACTTGTTAATTGTGTAGCGAATTTGTACATATCTTCAATCCAATCATGAAAGGGAGCTGCATTTTTACTTTTCCAGATCATCAATACTTTTACTCCTGATGGGCTATGTCTGAATAATCAAATTCTTTGGTATCAGAATGAAGAGCAATCTAAGGAAACTATTTAATATTGAAGTAAGATAGGGATCTGCATAGCACTGCTAAGGATTTAGTAGGACTTTCAAGGGGTGAGTGAGGCTGTAATTTAGCCTGTGAGCCAGAATCTTTCAACCTCAGAAGGAACTAGGGGTATGCAACCTCAGCCCATATGACTGGCTGGCTTGCAGTATGCAGCCCTGGAATTGGTCAGATCTGCTCTGAAATAGAATCCCAGAGCTGAAAGGCACCTTAGTAGTTATCTAGTCCCACCTTCCGGCCATTGCAGGATTTGCAATGTGAGATGCAACTGCAGGATCCCCAATAGATGGCTGTCCAATCTCAGTTTGAATACCACCAGGGAAGTAGAGCCCCCATTGTCCAACAACCCATACTATTAGAATGTGGGTGATGCTGTGGTCTAAATCACTGAGCCTCTTGGGCTTGGCGATCGGAAGGTCGGCGGTTCGAATCCCCGCAACGGAGTGAGCTCCCATTGCTCTGTCCCTGCTCCTGCCAGTTCGAACTAGCAGTTTGAAAGCACGCAAATGCAAGTACCGTATTTTTCGCCCTATAGGACGCACTTTTCCCCCTCCAAAAATGAAGGGGAAATGTGTGTGCGTCCTATGGGGCCAATGCAGGCTTTCGCTGAAGCCTGGAGAGTGAGAGGCGTCGGTGCGCACCGACACCTCTCGCTCTCCAGGCTTCAGGAAGCTATCCGCAAGCTTCGCGTGCCTGGCGGGGGGTCCCGCCGGGCACGCAAGGCTTGGGGCGGCAGCCTGTTCTGGGGGCTGGGGTTCGGGGAAGCTCAGGCTTCCCCCACGCCAGCGCCCGCGCCTGGGGGGGAAATAATTCCCCCCCCTTTATTTCCCCCCCCCCAAAACTAGGTGCGTCCTATGGGGCAGTGCATCCTATGGGGCGAAAAATACGGTAGATAAATAGGTACTGCTGCAGCAGGAAAGTAAACAATGTTTCCGTGCGCTCTGGTTTCCATCACGGTATCCTGTTGCACCAGATGCAGTTTAGTCACACTGGCCACACGACCTGGAAAGCTGTCTGTGGTCAAATGCTGGCTCCCTTGGCCTGAAAGTGAGGTCCCGCCAGGCGCGCAAGGCTTGGGGTGGCAGCCTGCAGCCCGAAGCAGGGGGCCAGCTGCGGAGCCCACCCCCTGCTTCGGGCAGATGTCCGCAAGCCTCGCGCGCCCTGCAGGAGGTCCCGCCGGGCGCGCAAGGTTTGGGGCGGCAGCCTGTTCTGGGGGCTGGGGTTGGGGGAAGCTCAGGTTTCCCCCGCGCCAGGCCCTGCGCCTGGGGGGGAAATAATTTTTTCCCCTTTATTTCCCCCCCCCCAAAAAAACTAGGTGCGTCCTATGGGGCGGTGCGTCCTATGGGGCGAAAAATGCGGTAGATAAATAGGTACTGCTGCAGCAGGAAGGTAAACAATGTTTCCGTGCGCTCTGGTTTCCGTCACGGTGTCCTGTTGCACCAGATGCGGTTTAGTGACCACACGACCTGGAAAGCTGTCTGTGGTCAAATGCTGGCTCCCTCGGCCTGAAAGTGAGAAGAGCACCACACCCCATAATCACCTTTGACTGGACTTAACCGGCCAGGGGTCCTTTACCTTTTACCTTTCTATTAGGAAGTTTCTTTCAGGGTTGAGATAAAACCTACTTCCTGGCCATTTCTGCCTGTTGGTGCTAGTCTTGCCCTCTGGAACAACCTAAAAGAAGTCTGCTTCATCTTTGGCCCTGGAGACAACTTCCAGGTAAGGCCACCAATGACAATTGTTACATAGACAGATATTCGCACTCTGTCAGCTCTGAGAAATATTATCATCTGCAGAAATTGTTTGGAATAAGTCTAACAATTGTGAGCGTTAGTAAAAAAATTTTTTATGGGACTACAATGTGCTTCTGAGATTTAGCTTGAACCATATCTTGTAGTTTTAAGTCTTCTCTTTATGCTGCATTAAGGTAGTAAATAATATTCTTTCTCACCCCCTCTTGGCAAATTCTTGGGCATTTTTATAGGCCTTGAAGTATTGGTCAGCTCTCACTTCGTCTGCCTATAAAATGCCACAAGCATTTTAGCAAAGACTGCTGCTGCAGCAAGAGGAACTTGAAATGTAATCTGTTTTTAAATCACATGGGAATATTGATTTGGGTGGTGTGTTGTTTTTCAAATCAAGTTTCCTCAAAGTTTCCCGGACATGTGTTGGGCAAGGATAATCCCCCCTCCAATTATACTGATTCTTCTGTCAATGATCACCCATCTTTAAACATTAAGGCCTAAATCTAATGCGGAACAGAACATGCTATGGGCAGGATGCGGGTGGCACTGTAGGTTAAACCACAGAGCCTAGGACTTGCCGATCAGAAGGTTGGCGGTTCGAATCCCCACGACGGGGTGAGCTCCCGTTGCTCGGTCCCAGCTCCTGCCCACCTAGCAGTTTGAAAGCATGCCAAAGTGCAAGTAGATAAATAGGTACCGCTCTGGCGGGAAGGTAAACGGCGTTTCCATGTGCTGCTCTGGTTTGCCAGAAGTGGCTTAGTCATGCTGGCCACATGACCCGGAAGCTGTACGCTGGGTCCCTCGGCCAATAAAGCGAGATGAGCGCCGCAACCCCAGAGTTGGCCACGACTGGACTTAATGGTCAGGGGTCCCTTTACCTTTACCTTACATGCTATGGGCAAAGGTAGAATATCCACATTGCATGCACAAGGTTTCAGGTTCAGTCCCTGACATTTCCAGGTGGCCATGAACTGGTATGTCTACTTGGGTGAACATATGTAGTACTCACATGAGGGCAATTTGCTGGTGGACCCCTCAAAACTGGGGCAAGCCCCATAGCTCTCAATTACAAAAGCCACCCCAGCTTCTGACTGGATCCTGGAATGTCCCCCCCTTTTTAATCCAGCACTCTGGTGTGAGTCAGCACTGGACTAAAGGATGCTCATGTCAGCTGGTGCCCATGAGAGCAATGGACAAAAAGATGCTCAGGTTTCATTTTGTTTCACACTCTTGAGTCAGCTGGCTCCCGTGAGAGTCAGACACGACTAAATGACTAAACAACAACAACAGTGTTTAAAGGTGAAGGCTGGTGCACAGGCTAA